CCATTGATTGCTGCTACTGCATCCTTATCATTACCAAAGGTTGCATAAGCAAAGCCCCTATGTCTACCAGTATTCCTATCGTACATAACAGTAACGTCCTGTACATCCCCATACTGAGATAAATACTCAGTAACACGATCTGAGATCATCATCAACATGAGGAAGTGACAACAATAGTAGCGGCATCTTTTACTCTGATCAGCTGACTGTGGAAGGCCACCTAGGAAAACTTTACACGGGTCGTCAGAGAACCTAAAGTCAAGACCACTTTGGTACAATACAGCGGAGTAGGGATACCGACTCCTTTTGCTGCTGCTGCTGGTGGTGGTGGTGCTGGGGCTTCGGACCTGCTTGGCTGGGAGGCTCGTCCTTCTGTGATTGTTGTTGTTGTTGGCATCGATACACAGTGCTAGAGGTAGGCTTGGACGTGTCCATGGAGGGGAACTCAAGCCGAGTGCAGGGCTTTACTTCAACCTGAAGGAGGAGGAGGAAGGAGTGAACAACAACAAGTGAGAAGAGGAGGCAGCACTGTGAGACTTACTACCCATTTGCCATCCATCATGTTACTATCTCCACCACGACAAGCAGCATTAGCACCAGCAGGTGTCGAAAAAGTTGCATACGCAAAGCCACGATTACGTCCAGTGCCTCTATCAATCATTACATTACAATCAACAAGGGTACCATATTGAGCAAGCATATCAGTCAAGCTATCTAAAAGGGCGGCAATAGTAGTAGTTTATGTCCAAGTATGTTATTATTACCATCATCAGCGGAAGGTGGTAGACCACCAATAAAGACCTTACATGGATCATCAGGTACCCGATAAGGTAGTGATGATGATAAAGCCCCTTTGCCGCCGCCCCCCTTCCCACCACCGTATCCCCTATATCCTCCTTTTCCACCACCACCACCAAAAACCCCTCTGCCATAGAAGTAATAGTAATTGGTATGTCTACTCCAAGACCCCTTCATATCATCATCACCACCACCTGACATCCAGCTCCCAATAGTGCTCCCTTTATATACCACAGTATGGCTACCCTGCTGTTGTTGTTGTTGTTGTTGTTGATGATGATGTCGTGAGCCTCTTGGCCCAAGACCACCCTCTACTGCTCGCTTAACGTCTATTGTCTTATCCATTACCACGTGGGGTATATTATCAAGACAAACCTAGGGAAGATAACAACATGTTGGTATTCTTAGCTGCTGCCAGTGAGGCGTGCTGTAGTAGTAGGACTACTATTACTACCTCCATATCCTGAGAGTATTGGAAGGTAATAAAGCCGAAGCCTCGAGATCGTCCAGTGAGGTGATCGATCATAACTGTTGCATCATCTATATCACCAAACTGGGAGAAGTATTCTCTCAGTTCTCGCTGCCCACAATTGTACGGCAGACCGCCGAGGAATAACTAAACGAAAGGTGAATACCCTACTAGACCCCCATAATGAAAACAGTAGTAGTAATATCACCTTTCGTTCCTCCATCTTGAGGGTCACAGTCGTGTTATCATTATTATCTCCTTTCCGTGATGCAGGCATAACGCCAGAAGAGGCCATCGAAGGCGGTGTCAGAGCAGCGACTGTCGATGGTCTCGTAGTTGGTTGGGAGTTGCCCAAGAGGGACTCAGAAGGGGTATTGCAGTCCCGAGCCGCTTGCTGTTGAGCCCTCAACGAGTCCGATACAGCGTGTGGGCGGCGCTTGTCTCGAGACAAGGTGCACTGTGGTCCAGCATGCACCGACGACGACGATGACGACGACGATGGCGACGACGGGGACCAGGTATTGCGACGTTTCCCTGTGTACTCATCTGCAGCAGTGACCTCGGTGGCATGACCATCTCCTTCTTCCTTAGTTCCCCTCCTTATTGTTGTTGATGCCGTCGTATCAACAAGAACCGTCGCTCGAGAAGACGGCGATTCAACTATCATAATGATGGAGAGAGGGAATTATGATGCAAAACAAGGGGAAAAGAACAGGCTGAGGCAACAGGAACGAGAGCTAATACCTTACCATTACAACCTCAACTGCACTCAACGACACATTTCGACAGAAGACCATCAAGACAGGAAGTCCAAGTAGAGCATGATAAGGAGGAGAGGCTAAAGGGATAATGCAGCAGCATTCAACTGATGGGTGCTTCCGACAATGTTTCCAAAGCATGGGGATCGCTGAGGGGCGACGGCGGTGGATGTACACCCCAACTGTATGTGGGTGGTATGTATACCACCCATAATATACCAACACCCCACCCTCCTCCTTCCCCTCCTGCTCCTCCTCCTGTTGTTGGTAGTATAGGGCCTAAAGAACACTATCAAAGTCCTGTCTCAGGGCGAGTGCTGTCAACACTACTCTGCAACCGAGACTTGTCATTATGATGATGACGACGACGTAGTAATACACTATGATAGTGTATCGTACAGTACCATACCACTATAATCAAGCTATGAACTAGGCTTGAACAAGGATCCTAGACAAACTTCCTCACCCTTCCTCCTACTACTACTACCTCAGTTACCACTCAGGAAGGCACCCTTAACGAGTACTTTCCAAAGTTCATCACCAGTCGCGAGAACATGGTCACAATGGAGTGTGAAGATGGTCCCTCCTCCGTATCCACTGCTTCCGTTGTGTATGATGATCATATTCCTTGATGAAGTTGAGAAGTTAGCAAGAGAGATCAAGAAATCAAGGTGGCCACGTGTCGAGGCTGTTATTGCTGCTGCTGCTGACTCATTATGAAGGCCTTTCCCAGCGATCTCGCATCCCCACGTAGCGATGACAATGACAATATTAAATCAGTAGGTTTGATGCCCTCTCATGATCTCTATCCATGCACCCTTTACAGGTTGTTATCCGCATTGAGAAACCAGTCGAGCCTACTCCCCAATATTTACTTTTATATAAGAGACTTGTAGCTGCTATGAGGTCAGTGTTCACTTGTGCTACTACTACTACCAATAAAGCCGTCACTGGTACTACTTGTATACAGAAAGCTGTTGTTTATCATCCAGAGCTTAGTGATGCGGCTGACTGTAACAATGGTGTGAGGACATCTAAATATACTATAGTGTCATTCATACCTAAGAACCTCTGGTATCAACTACACCTGTTCGCCAACGTGTATTTCCTATGTGCTGCTGGTTTACAGATGATCCCTGCTATCAGTGACTCTGGTGGTCGGCCACTACTCTTGATACCATTACTCTTTGTTATCACAGTATCGGCATTCCGTGATGCAATAGAAGATATGAAGAGGCATAATAACGACAAACACGAGAATAAGAGGACAGTTCGAAGGCTTGTCGCGAAACGCCGTCAACGATCTGATGATGGTACCATCTATGACCGAAGTAGCACCTCTCTTGTAGATAGGGTACACTGGGATGAGCTCAGAGTAGGGGATGTGGTTAAGATTGGTATTGGAGAACAGTTCCCTGCTGATCTAGTATTGCTTACTTGTGATGATACTGGTGGTATGATATTTGTAGAGACTATGAATCTCGATGGTGAGACTAACCTCAAGCCTAAGATATGCATACCAACACTTCAAAATGCATTCTATGAGTCATCCAATACAGCCACCATAGAGGAGAATATCATTATTGGCCTCCATGGGGCTGAGCTGCACTACGAGACCCCTAACTCACAACTGTACAAATTCCAAGGACAACTACTCCTCAACACCATACCTGCCCTCGACCATGATACTACAGACTACGAGGAAAGCTCATCGGAGCACGATAGACGAGGGGGATGTGGTCGGCATGCAGTGAGAAGTCTCCCACTCAGTATTGATCAATTACTATTACGAGGGACATCACTACAGTCGTGTAATAGTGGTCACCATTGCTACGGTGTAGTTGTGTATCCTGGTATGGATACTAGGATATACCGTAACTCAATGGAGACAGGTAGGTTATTATTACTACTCACTCTTGTGATGGGTAAAGGATGAGATATCAGGTACGGGAAGGAATAAGATAAGCAAGCTCATGCAGACCTACAACAGGCATGTTATCGTACTCTTTACCCTTCAAGCTATGATATGCGTAATAGCTGCCTTTACTCATGGGTTTATCTACGCTACCACCACCACAACCAAGGATGACGTTGACGATACTACTCCTATTATCATGATGGGCTCCTCATTTCACTACTGGTATGGGAGCGGACTACCTCACCTAACCTCCCTTATTGTTATCAGGTATCTCTATGTAGGGCCTCAATCAGTAGATGCAGGAGATGTGGTATCTAGAGGCCTGCGTGTTGCTGGCTCCTTGCTACTCCAGTTTACTTATTTCGTCCCCATATCACTACTGGTATTCCCATACCTCTGCACATCGTTAACCCTCTCCCTCAATGCTAGGTTACATTGGAGATAGTGAAGTACTTCCAAGGGAGGTTTGTATCAGCAGATAATGCTATGCAACATAATGGTCAGTATAGCCTCACCAGTCACACTCTGAGGCCCGACTACCAGGTCTAGCTGCGGCCTCTAACAGCTCTACTCTAGTAGAGGAACTGGGATCGGTTACTCATGTGTTCAGTGATAAGACAGGGACTCTAACTGATAATCGGATGATATTCAGGAGTAGATCACTATAAGCATCTAAGGCTGTCACCATACCACCACCACCACACTCAGGTGCTTACATTATGGGCAGTGGAGGGATGGACTCCCAGCCACTTCCCCAAGTTACTGGTCAGTCATCATCATCCATAGCACCGGCACGACACGACGCGAGCGTCCACTTCGACGATGAGACCATCCTGAGGGTGGTAGCACAGGCTGATGATGAAGAGTACGTGCCCTGGTGTCGGCCCTTTCATCCCTTCCTTCTAGCCTCCTCACTACAACACGGCTATTCCTCCTTGGTCTCTGCCTCTGTCATTCAGTCCTCGTTAAGGACTCTAACCAAGTATCGGCAGACCCCATGTGCTCCTCTGAGTCTCTGTAACACGAGATCATGTCGCTGAGGTCGCCTACATGGTGTGTTAGATACGACGCATCCTCCCCTGATGAGCTTGCTCTAGTGGCCGGTGCCAGATATCTTGGATTAGAGTTCTCAGCCCGACCAACCCCTGATACTATTAGGATCACATTGACCACTCCCTTCGCAAGGGAGGTAGTAGTAGTAGTGATATCAATATATTGTCCTGGGTATGTTCACGACGACGATGCCCCCGGTGCAGATCCTTAACGTTCAAACTAGTGAAGAAGGGGCGAGCATTGTAGACGTTGAACTGTTGGAGGTGATAGAGTTTGATAACGACCGGAAAAGGATGAGCGTTCTTATCAAGATAACAGCTATACCGGACTCCCAAGAGTAAGGCCATTATCATCTTGTTTATACTGTAGTGGCTGTTTATAGGAAGGAAAGGGATGACAACTGTGCCACAGATAAGGTCTTGCTACTCATCAAGGGTGCGGATTCCAGCATGATGGATATATGCTCAACTAGCAGTGATATTTCAGTATTACCATTTCCCTTACCTGAACCGTCTTAGATTCGTCGTCTACCCTCCCTCAACAAGAGCTGGATAGTGTCCTCAATGAACTATCCACAAGAGGTCTACGAACGCTAGTGTATGGTGTCCGAGACCTCACCTCGGATAAGCCTTTCGTGGATCATTGGCGTGCTTCCTATAACCATGCCCGAGGCCTTGTTGGTACAGCTAAGGAGGAAGCGTTAAGGAAGTGTATAGAGGAAATGGAGTGTGGTATTCATATAGTAGGTTGTACTGGTATAGAGGATAAACTACAGGTGAGGTGGTGGCTTACTACAGTAAGGCTACTATATCCTTCTTAATAGGACAATGTACCAGAGACTATAGCAGATCTACACCAAGCTGGTATCAAGGTATGGGTGCTCACTGGAGATAAGATAGAGACAGCCATCAATATAGCGTACTTTATATGTATCTCTGTTTTAAAGAGGAAGACTAAAACACAATAGGTATAGTAGTAAACTACTCTATCCTACAGTACTCAATGAAGTGATTACTTCTACTAATCCACATAGTATACATACAGCATTGGATGCCCT